TTGGGTGCAGTAGGCTATCAGCTGCTTACCTGGCTAGGTCCCACACACGTCAACTCAAACTTATTCTTGTAAATGCTTCTCCGGACACAGCAAACTGTTCCACTCCGCCACAGAGTGTGCCTTAGAAGGGAAAGTGACAACATAAAAGGTAACAGGCATCGGAAGGATATCTCGAGACACCCTTGAAACCCAAGTTCTAGAATCTACGAAAGAGTTGGCAGTCAAAGGGCTGGCAGTTTTGGGAAGTACCAGATGGAAAGAGGTGGCACTCACAGGACTCAAGGATAGTGATGGGATGAAAGGGAGAAATCAGCCCTGTCTACAGAATTCTTTGTCTCTTTTGGCTTCCCATAAAGTGCGAATTTCTCTTTCCTGCCTTTAATGTCATATTTTTAGGTTGGAGTCAAAAGGGAAGAGGAGATTCTCGAGTTTCAGGGAGAGTGCTTTAGGCTAAGGCCGGATTTTTCCTAGTTTGGAGAAAGTCACCCAGGCGGAAAGGGATTACTAGTAAAACTCACCGCAGAGTCGTGAGCCATCCCGTTTCCAGGCCAAGGCAGTGACGGTATATAAGTTGGCAATCTCCTTGGGCTTTGCCTCTTCCCAGATGCTTCTTCGAGGGCTCCAGTGGAGTACCTGAAGTCTGAAATTAAGGAGGTGGATTTCAGAAGAGATGGAGACTGAACAAAAGGGTGGAAATGGGTGGGTAACTGAAGGCAATGAGTCTCGCTGTATTAGAGAAGAAAGGAAGTGAAAGAGAACACATATGCTAGGGAATCTCATAGGAGAGGACAAAAAGGTTCAAAGGAAGGAAGTTGGGAAAATCAAGCCAAAAGTAAAATGGGGTGAGAGCGATAGGAGTGGAGAAAACAAAAGGAGATCATGGCTGGTGAGAAAAGTGAGCTGTTAGCAAGGGAGAAATAAGGAAAAAGAAACAGAGAAAAAGGAAGAGACCCACATGACATCGAAGGGGATAAAAGGACAGGACTAATAAAGCTGATGTGAGGCGACCGGGGCCCTTTATTTATTTTATTTATTTTATTTACCCTTCCATCATCCATCCCTTCCTTCCTACCTTCCTTCCTTCCTTCCTTCCTTCACCAAACATTTAAGCATACATTATGT